CCGGCAGCCGCGGCTCCAGCAGCTGGCCCCGACCCTGCCGCTGGTGCTGCGCACTGGCACCGCAGCGCACTCGGCCACCAGGATTTGGCCGCGGAGCCGCCACGGGCTCTCCGCAGCGTCCGCGCCCTTCTCGTCGTAGCCCTCCGCCAGCACCTCCGCTTCTCCTTCGCTGCTCTCCCGTCCCAGCCTCGCATCCTCCTCCTCCTCCTCCTCCTCCTCCTCCTCCTCCTCCTCCTCCTCCTCCTCCTCCTCCTCCTCCTCCTCTGGTGGGGGTTACCGCGCCGCCACAGCAGGATCATTCTCCAGGCCCTCGTGGTCGCGCAGCTCGTGCCGCCGGATGTGGGCCTGCGCGTCGCCTAGCCACCGACCGGGCTGCTTGGCACGCCGCCTGCACGCCGCAGCGAACAGCCGTGCTTCCTCGGGCACCTGCCGGAGCCTCGCGCAGCGTTGGACCATTCGGTCGGCGACTGCAGTGCCCTCTCGTGTCCGGCTGAGCAGCGGGGTTCTGGCCGCAACTTGCGAAAGATGATTCTTCACTTCGATGACCTCCACGTCCTGGTCCACCACTTCGGCCCACCAGGCTCGCCAGAGGCGGCGGTGGCGGCGGCGGCGGCGGCGGCGGCGGAGGACGAGGAGGAGGAGGGGGAGGAGGGGGAGGAGGGGGAGGGGGAGGGGGAGGGGGAGGAGATTCGGTCTCTTTACAACCAGAACAACCACTTTACAACCAGATGGGTTACTTTACAACCAACATAGGATTGGAAAGTATGGTTTTTCATCGAGAACGTCCACTTTGCAACCAGAACGGCCCACTTTACAACCAGAACGGACCACTTTACAACCAGAACGGGCCACTTTACAACCAGAACGGACCACTTTACAACCAGCTCAGAGTGGCCGTGCGTGTTTGGGCGTTCCGCAAAGTGCTCCAGAGCAAGTGGGCGCTCTGAAAAATGCCCCAGAGCAAGTGGGCGCTCTGAAAAATGCCCCAGAGCAAGTGGGCGCTCTCAAAAGTGCTCCAGGGCGCGCGGACGTTCTGAAAAGTGCTCCAGAGCACGTGGGCGCTCTGGAGCCCGAGCGCCTGAACTTTTTGCGCAGGCCCCAGCGATGCCTCTGAGCCCGAGCGCCTGAACGCCCTGCGCAGGCCCCAGCGATACCTCTGAGCCCGAGGACCTGGGCGCTCTGCGCAGGCCCCAGCGATGCCTCGGAGCCCGAGGACCTGGACGCTCTGCGCAGGCCCCAGCGATGCTACTGAGCCCGAGCGCCTGGACGCTCTGCGCAGGCCCCAGCGATGCCTCTGAGCCCGAGCGCCTGGACGCTCTGGCGCTCTGAGCCCAGCAGACTAAGACAGGGCTTGCTAGCAGGGGCCAAGCGGCCTCAACAAGGGCCCCGTGCTCGCACGGGAATAAGGCGACAGCATACGTAGGAAGGCTCAGGGCGACGCGCTGCCCATTTTAGGGACCACTCACAGGAAGCGAGCCCAGTGGCCTCCACAAGGGCCCAGCGCTCCAGGGAACTAGGCCATTGGCACCGCGGGTCTCTTGCGCCACGTTGGCCCCTGAAGCCCCACGATGTTCTGCAAGGGGCTCAGTGCTCCAGCTCCAGTTGGCCCCCTGCTGCTCCTCTTCTTGGAAGATCGAGGTTCAACGTTCCGAATAAATGCAACTATTTCGAAGATCGTTCCTTCCAGCGTCAGCCACAGCGCCAGCGCAGCAACGCAGGTATCCTGCTCGGGCAGCAGCCTCAGCCACCGTGCCAGCGCAGCAGCTTGAGCCACCGTGACAGCGCATCACCGCCACCTTTGTGCCTGCTACCACCAAACTTACCGCTGCAGCCCCGCTACCTCCACAATTCCGACTGACCCCCCGCTACCACCGCAAATCCCATTGCAGCCCAGCTACCACCACAGTTCCCATCGCTGCTTGGCGACCACCACAGTTGCCACCGCAGCTTCCCAACGCCATGCTGTTCCCATTGTAGCCCCCGCTACCACCACATCTCCCACTACAGCTTCCCACTGCCATGCAGCTCCAGTCTTGGACGGGATCATGGTCTATTCGTATGCCCTGCGCGACTAGCCTTCGCCCGTCAGAAAAAAAGGCAGAGCAAGCAATGGCAGAACTGACCGACAGAGCTTAGAGAGCAGGTCAAAACCCTAATCCGCCCACCAGCACGCAACATACCATAGCGCACCAGGTCGCCGCATCGCCAACGCGTGCGCAGTGCTTCTTCGTGCGCGATGGGCAACTTTACAACCAACATGCCTCAGAGAGCCCAGAGCCACCCTTGCGCTTGCCCACGGAGATTCCAGGGAAAGGCCCGCGTGCATTCAATATGTGTTTTTACTTGCCTGGTTGTAAAGTGCCCTTCCTGGTTGTAAAGTGCCCTTCTCGGATTTTGTAAGCTGGTTGTAAAGTGACCCATCTGGTTGTAAAGTGCGCTTCTGGTTGTAAAGTGGCCCACACGCGGAGGGGGAGGGGGAGGGGGAGGAGGGAGAGGAGGACGAGGAGGAGGAGGAGGAGGAGGGAGAGGAGGAGGACAAGGAGGAGGAGGAGGAGGACGACGACGACGAGCGACGAGCGACGAGCGACGAGCGATGAGCCACGAGCGACGAGCGACGAGCGACGACGACGACGACGACGACGACGACGACGACGACGACGACGACGACGACGGCGACGACGACGACGACGACGACGACGACGGCGACGAAGACGAAGACGACGAAGACGACGACGTTGACGACGACGACGACGAGCGACGAGCGACGAGTGACGAGCGTCGAGCGTCGAGCGTCGAGCGTCGAGCGTCGAGCGTCGAGCGTCGAGCGACGAGCGACGAGCGACGAGTGACGGGCGACGAGCGACGAGCGACGAGCGACGGGCGACGAGCGACGAGCGACGGGCAACGTTGGGGGGGGCGGCTGGCCCAAGGGGGGAGACGTCTTGGGGCCATCTGGGAGGCACTGGACGCTGCAAACTGCCCTGCGCGGGCCGCCGGAGCGCTGCTCCTCCCCAAGCTCTTGTCAGATGATCACAATACCGTGGGTCGTTGAGGGTAGGTATGTCTGGATTCCCTGATTCCAATCTAGGGGGCCGCATGCGAACCCTACCCCTACCCCCCCTCGATTTCTGAGGGGGAGGGATTCCAATCTAGGGGGCCGCATGCGAACCCTACCCCTACCCCCCCTCGATTTCTGAGGGGGAGGGTGGGGTTCACTTCGTTCGGGAGCTCCCGAGCGAAGTGAACCCCACCCTCCCCCCCAGAAATCGTGGGGGGTAGGGGTAGGGTTCGCATGTGGCCCCCTATCCTTCCTACTTCAATGATCGAGTGGCTTCACCTTTGCCGTCCTCCTCAGGGGGCGGACGGAACCCAATCTACTGTCAACGCCTACTTCTTCCGACCGATGGGTACAGCGGAGACCCATGCCAAGAAACACCCCGCTTGCCTCCAGGTTGCCCTGGGTTTCTTGGGTTCCGACAGTTCTGCCATGGAAAGCGTGACGTCCCCACACCCAGAATCGATGGACGTCCTGGGGTTCCAGGGTTGGGTTTCTTGTGAAAGGTTTCTTGTGGTCGGGCCCCTACTGTAGTAATTCAATGTTGACGCCACCTGGCAAGCGTTTTAGAGGCTGACCTCGCGCCCAGCGCCCCCCCAGCATCCAATTCAACACCGCCTTCGACCACCTGGCACCGGTGCAGCCGGCCGTCATTTGCAGGAGAGTGGTTCTGCTGTGTTTCTGGGATTGCACCCACGTCTGAAAGCCTGCCTTCTCGTACACCCCACGGCTTAAACTTCAGCGGTGGCGGGGCGCACCCGTCGCTGGCACCCGCGCCAGGCGCTGGCGCTGTTAGAATGCTACTGGGGCTCGATCCAGCTCTCTCAGAAACCTATTAGGCCCCTACTGTACTCTACCCTATTATACCCTAAATTACCCTACCGTACCCTGACATCTTCTACTCTACTCGACCTTGTATTCTACCGTACTCTACTCTGCCCTACCGTGTCCCACACTATTCTACTCGACTCTACTCTACCCTATTCTACTCTACTCTACTCATATCATATTGAACTCCACGCCTTCGTCGTCTTCCGCCTCGTTTGCTGGCGGCGTCGTCGTCGTCGGCGCCGCCGCCGCCGGCGTCGGCGCGGCGTCGGCGTCGTCTTGTTCGTCGTGCGTCGTGCGTCGTCGTCGTCGTCGTCGTCGTCGGCGGCGGTGGCGGCGGCGGCGTCGTCGTCGTCATGCGTCGTCGTCCTCGTCGTCGTCGTCCGCATCGTTTGCTGGCGGCGGCGGCAGCGTCGTCGTCGTCGTTGCAAGGGGGAGGGGGCCAGGGTTCTGGACCCCCGCGAATAATTTTCACAGGATGGGGGATGGGAGTCGGGTCCGGACCCCCTCCCCTGGTTTTGAGGTGGGGTGGGGCTTGAACCCCATTGCCAGCAGCGGCAGACGGTGCTTGTTAAATTGTCCGAAGCCACCCAGCCCTTCGCAGTGCGGCAACAGCAGAAGACATCACAGATTCTGTTGCCTGTTCGGGCCCTCTTGAAGGTTTTTTTGGGGGGGCCGTCTTGATCCGCCTCGGGGGCCTCTTGCGCCGTCTTGATTCGGCGGCGAGCGAGCAAGGAGGGGAAGTGAGAAAGAGAAGGCCTTCTCACAAGGTTCGGAACTCCCCTGGCCTTCTGAGAAGTGCTCTAAGCCAAAATATGTCTCAGAAGGCGCAAGGGCGTCTGAGAAGCCCCGCCGCCTTCTGAGAGGGCCTTCTTCTCACTTTCCCCCCTCGCTCGCCGCCGTCTTGATGCCATCTCGGGCCGTCTGTGCGGCCCTGGTGGCCTGCCTGGGCTGTCTTGGGAGCCATCCTTGCGCATGTTGGGCGCCTTGGGTGCCGCCAACGGTGCGCCGGACCGCCCAGGAACCGTCGGGAGGGGGGGGCAGGAGGAGGAGAAGGAGGAGGAGGAGGAGGAGGAGGAGGAGGAGGAGGGGAGGAATGCATGGAGTAGACGGCCAGGGAGAGTTGGGGAGGGAGGCAGGTCATGTCGTTAGGCTCAGACTGCCGACCTCCGAACGAGGCAGGCAGGATATATCGCGACATCTTGGCCCACGGGTCCAAGAAGTGCGAGGGCTTCACTGGAGGCGCACGCACATGTAGACATCTTCCTCCTGTTCCCCCTCCTCCTTCCTCCTCCTCCTCCTCCTGCTCCCCCTTCTCCTCCTCATTGCTCCTTCTGCTTGGTCCCTGCGTGGACGTAGCGCGAACCCATCTTGAATTGTGTCGCCAGCAAAAGGCGCGGGGCAGCGGCAGGAAAGAATACGACTGCGAACAAGGCGCGGCGAGATGACCTGGGAGAGACGACGCGAGCGCACGAAAAGGACGGAGAATGATGGAGGCGATGCAGCGAGGGAGCGGAGGCGAGTTAGCGAGGAGGAAGGGAAACCGGCAAAGGATGAGAGAGGGGCAGAGGGGATAGATGGGCGTAGGGGGAGGCAGCCAGGGAGGGACGAGGCGGGACGGGAGACGGACGGAAGGAGGGGAAGGTAGGAGGGGGGAGTAGAAGAGAAAGAGAGAGGGGAGGCGGAGGAGGGAGCCAGCGAGGTGCTCTCGCGCCACATCTGGTATCTTACACCTCCCACCCATCCATTCCCATTGCGTTGAAACCTTATGTGTCCGCCGACGGGGGTTTTCGAGAGGATTTCGATGTCCACATGGCAACTGCAGCATCTGAACCATCGTTCGCTGTGGGATCGGCAGGGGGGGGCCCCTCACACGGGAAGAGGAGGACGACGAGGAGGAGGCGGGTGAGCAGGGGGAAGAGGAGGACATAAGATCAGGAAACTCGGCATCGCTCGGACGTGTGCATTGTTCCTTCGGCGAGGACCATCGAGGAACATCCTTCATCAGTTGGCGACAAAACCACGCACGAAACCGAAAAAAGCACAGGGAATGGACATCCGAGCGATGGCCAGGAAACGGAGGAGTAGACGGAGCAGGAGACCGAGGAAAAGGCGGATGACAGGAGAGGACGGGGAGGAGAGCGATGGGGAAGGAATCGGATCCTGAAGAGTGGCCCGCGCTTGGACGAAAACGCCCTTCTGAACGACGGGGGAGAAAACCGCCACTCTTGAAATGTGGCCAACGGTGCATCGGGAGCACCACACTTTAATGAGAACCGCTTAGCTTGCGAAGCACAAAAGATATGGCGTACCGTTGTTTGGAACCTGGTGCGTTCGGTAAACCAACAAAGTATCGAGGGAGAGAGGATCGTATCATTCATGTAGTACAAGTGGTAAGGGAAAAGAGAATGATTCACAACAAAAAGAAAAGGAACAAATAATAGGGGGAGGAATGACGAACCGGAGGGGAAGGCAAAACTGCAAAGACAAGAAGGACAGAAACACGACGTGGCGCCCACGACGAGCCGTGCTGCGAATGTGGTTCGCAATGGATTTGGTTCAGCCAGGCATGGTAATATTTGCACGCGCTCGCAGTTGTGTCCCCCGCCATGGTAGACAGTAGATGTCTGAGAGGGAGAACTTTCCAGTTGGATTCGAAGTGAGGGGACGTGCTTCAACATTGCATGAAAGTCATTGGGCCCACGCTTCTGTGGTGATTTGTTCAAACAAATGCTCATCACAATTAAGGTATACAGCAACGTGTGGTATGCACCTGTTTCCGATTCATGTCAGATCGATGGTTGTTATATCGGTTTTGATTTCTGGCAGGGGTTCACATTGGAGAAGCGTGCAATCCAGGGCCAGCATGGGACAAGATGACCGAAGTGATTCGCGTGCTCGGTTTAGGACGTCCTCCCGCTGGTTTTGTTTCGAATCCGATCCCGCCGCCGGGAATTCAGAGCGTCGCTCACGGTCTGGTTCCAACGCATCTTCCTACGCTCTATGATATCCATCCCAATTCTTGCGCCCTACCCACCTTCCAATCTCCACGTCTTTCATCTGACGATTGGCGTCCACAGCGAGAAGCTCAGGAGTTGGCGTAGATGAGATGCGGACCCTGGGGATGGAAAACATGAATGATCTGCACCTTCAGTTTTATCCCTGACTCCGCATGCTGCTCCAACTTTAGACAAAGCATTGATCGCAATGCAGACACTTGGAATGAACGGGGGTGCATCGCATGGCTTCGCAGTGCCGACGTCGGTTCCGACTACGGATGAAAGTATCGCAGTTGGCTTGGGGTTCCGAACCTGTTTTTTGATTTGGTGATCAAGTTGTATGTGGTTTCAGGAATTTCATGGAGCATGGGGGAGGAGGCCCGAGAGAACCACTAGCACCAGGTCGGTCTGACTACGATCTTCCAGCAGTCCCTGTGCATAATGTTTCTCCATGCGCGGTAATAAGAGTAGTTAGATTTGACCCCCCCCCGCAGTAATTCCAATTGTTGTGCAAGTACGGAAGATGAAACGATAGCAATAACGTATCACGAATGGCAACACAGCGGTTGTCTATATTCGAGCATGGCAGATTTTTGTTCGTAGTCCCAGCATGGGAATCCAAGCGACGATCTGCACAAGCCACGCCCGAAAATTAGACATGTGAAACGCGGCGGAGCGTAGGGAGTCAGTTGAGTAATGCCAGGGGAGAAGGAGGAGGAGGAGGAGGAGGAGGGGAAATGACGGGACACACAGCCAAATCACATTGAAGTCCGCCAGAGGACATACAAGATCCCGAACCATACATGGTAAATCATTGCGGATCATCGTTCCTGTAATAGGGCCACCGCAGTATACGCCAACTATTTTTCGGATACGTGTGGGATCTCTTCAGGGGTTCCCCGGCGTTCTAATAGCCAAAGTTGCATTGTGTCTCGGGATACCGTTTTTAGAGTTGTTTGAGACACAGCTTGGGCTGCTCACGAGCGAGTTGAGGGACGAGGCGCCCGCTTTGTACCTGATTTCGGGAACATCTTCCTCCTCATCCTCATCCTCATCCTCATCCTGCCTCCTCCTCCTCCTCCTGCCTCCTCCCTCTCTATCTTCCTCCTCCTCCTCCTCCTCCTCTTCTCTTCCTCCTCTTCTCTTCCTCTCCTCCTCCTCCTCCTCCTCCTCCTCCTCCTCATGTTTCCGTTGCAATATTGTTGCTCTACTTCGCTGGAGGACAGGAACAAAACATGTGGGAAAATGTTCGGAACGAGTTCGACAACCAATTTAATTCGGAATGTTTTGTTTTTGTCGGTTTCTTGATTCCCATTGATGTTTCTTAGAATGCCCCGCATTTTGGCCGTTTGCGTTTCATGTTGGCTTCCACGGGAAAAATTGGCAACCAAATAAAATGAATAAATTAATTAAAAGAATGAGTTGGGAATGAATCGACCTGAAGGATATGTCGAGGATCTGCCTGCGCCCTAGTAATTAGCCAGTAGAGCGAATTACAATCCAAAAGATTCATATGTGCGCATGGATGCCCGTACTTTGAGACGCCGCTGGGTACCGTTGTTAATGCTTGCGGTTTGCTAGAAGATGTCATTGGATCTGTGTCTTTGGAAGGGGGATACCTTGCACTGATCATCCAGGATCATTCCCCATGTCGAAGCCACTGGGTGGAATCATTGGATGCAATTGTTGTTAGATGTGTTGGTTGATAAAAAAAGTAAGGATCTTGGTGGAATTGAGATATTTTTGATGATACACTCCGAATAGGCTTTGCGCATGTTCGGCCCTCATGAAATGTGTCGCGCGTGCGGGCGAGGCGAAGCTATGTATGAATGACCCCATCGCCGTTGCGGCGACACGGATGCAGTGGACCGTCTTTGGGAAGTTGGTGGGCCTGTTGTAGCCCGGGGTGTCCCGCATTGGTGTCTTGTCCCGTCGGTGTTACGTCGGTGGTGGGTGGTGGCCGGAGGTGCCTGCCTTGGTATCCATAGTGGAGTCGACAGTGAGATTGATAATGAAAATGAGGTGAAGAGTGAGATCGAAAGTGGAACCATCAATTAGGTTGATTGACATTGATTGTGACATCGATACTGAAATCGATAGTGAGATCATGATTAGATCGATGGTGGGATCGAATACGAGATCGATTCCGATAACAATAGTGGCATTACATTGCAGCGCGACGTCGTCGTCGCTAGCTCGAGGGCGCGTCACTAATATCGCGAATATCATATCCATAGCATTTGTCAGCAATGGGTTCCACACAAGTTTTTGGGTGATGCGGTGAACAAGCGTTTGGGCTAGTATTTGCTTTTGCGCACACTCACGGGATAGACCTGCGAGTTAGGAAAGGAGCTGGCCTTGGTTGGTTTGCTGCAGAGATGGTGGAAGAGGACAATCATAAGTGAGCGAAAGCAAAAATATAACGAGACTGCAAACAAAGAGGGCGTTGAAAAAGATTTTTTTCTGTTCATACAGCATCGGACCAACGAAAGTATATCCACGCAACCGGCACCAGGCAAGGTGAATCAGACACGAAGCGTAAGCGCGTGGGTCAAGCAGCGTCACAGGAGCGTCACAAGAGTAGGAGGAAGAGGAGGAAGAGGAGCAGAAGGATGAAAAGGAGGAGGAACAATAGTTCTTGTGTTTTGTTTCTCGCGCCAAAATCGGCACCAACCAATCTAATTTCGTGTGCATCGTGGTGCGTGCCGTTTTTCTCAGCTTCTGCGTTTATTAGATATCGGCTATCTTTATTCGTAGGTCCTGGGCGTGATTGTCCAGTTCTTCTTATGTTAGAAGGGACACAATTGTCACATCACAAAATAACGGATGGCCGGAAGCAACGCTCAAACCAAGCTCTGGGGTATGGCTGGATGGTGGTTGGCATCATTGCGGGGGCGCTTATCATGCAAAGCATGGGGTACTCAACCAAACCACCGCCCCAACCCCCGGTGGGCCCCCCGCCAGGCTTGGCCGCCCCGCCGCCACCAGCACAGGCGCTAACACCAGAGGAAAGCGCCCGGCTCGAAGTCATCCGGGCTTTGACCGTGGGCGGCCAAGCGGCCTTGCAAGCGAGGGCACAGATCGCGAACATGACGGAGACCGAGTTCTTGCGCAAATTGGCCGGGCTCCCGGCGCAAGCCCCTGCGCACCTGCCATACGGACCCGCAGGGAGAGGATCACGGTTGCCGGGACATGGCTCCTACTAATGGCTATTAAACCGATACGTGCGGCATGGTTGTCTACCCGAACTACCGGCCACGGTCCGCCAGGAGGGAGGGGGAGGATGATGAGTTTGATCATTTCCTCTTGTTCCCGCCCACCTTTTCGGACTTCCCCGAGCACGATCTTGGACTCCGCCCTTTATGTCACTCTGACTCCGGCTTTCATCCCCTATGCTCCCAGCAGTCCGACACCGGCTTCCGACCAGGGCGCCAACGAAGATTCCTACGAGGGCTCCCAACGGCTTCCCCAGAGCAA